GGTGTGCCTGAGAAGTTTATTAACATCCTGAAAGCCCTATATAAAAACACCTCAGGCAGAGTGAGGGCATACAACCACCTCTCTCCATTGTTCCATTCGAGCAGTGGGGTTAGACAGGGTTGCCCAGTCTCACCATTCCTCTTCAACTTTGCCATCGATGACATTCTGGAAACAGCTCTGATGAATGTAAGTAATGGCGGTGTGGATCTGTTGCCTGGAGAAAGACTTCTCGACCTTGAGTATGCGGACGATATTGTCTTACTGTGCGATAATGCCCAAGGCATGCAATCCGCACTTAATCAGTTGGCAATCAGTGTCCGTAGGTGTGGTATGTGCTTTGCACCTTCGAAGTGCAAAGTACTTCTACAAGACTTACTTACTTACTTACACCTGTTACTCCTCGTGAAGGAGCATAGGTCGCTCACCAGCATTCTCCATCCAACCCTGTCCTGGGCAATACTTTCCAGCTCCTTCCAGTTGTAATTCATCCTTTTCATATCTGCTTCTATTATCCGACGTAATGTGTTCTTTGGCCTTCCTCTTTTCCGCTTCCCATCAGGATTCCAAGTTAGGGCTTGCCTCGTGATGCAGTTTGACGATTTGCGTAATGTATGTCCTATCCATTTCCATCGTCTTTTCCTAATTTCTTCTTCAGCTGGAAGTTGGTTTGTTCTCTCCCACAGAAGGCTATTGCTGATGGTATCCGGCCAATGGATGTTGAGTATCTTGCGTAGACAGCTATTTATAAATACTTGTACTTTCTTGATTGTGGTTGTTGTAGTTCTCCAAGTTTCAGCTCCATACAGTAGAATTGCCTTGACGTTCGTATTGAAGATTCTCACTTTGATATTGGTTGAAAGTTGTTTTGAGTTCCATATGTTCTTCAATTGTAGGAATGCGGCCCTTGCTTTGCCAATCCTCGCCTTTACGTCTGCATCTGAACCTCCATGTCTATCAACGATGCTTCCCAGATATGTGAAGGATTCTACATCTTCCAGAGTTTCGCCATCAAGAGTGATTGGATTGCTGTTCTCCGCTTTGAATTTGAGGACCTTCGTTTTCCCTTTGTGTATGCTGAGGCCTACTGATGCAGAGACTGCTGCTACACTGGCTGTCTTCATCTGCATCTGTTCGTGTGTACGTGATAGGAGGGCTAGGTCATCTGCGAAGTCCAGATCGTCTAATTGGTTCTGAGCTGTCCATTGTATTCCGTGTTTTCCTTCAGATGTCGAGGTCTTCATAATCCAGTCGACCACCAGAAGAAAGAGGAAGGGAGAGAGTAAACAGCCTTGTCTGACTCCGGTCCTTACTTGGAATGCATCTGTCAGCTGTCCTCCATGCACTACTTTGCACTGTAGTCCGTCGTATGAGTTCCGGATAATATTGACAATCTTCTCAGGAACTCCGTAATGTCGAAGAAGTTTCCATAATGTCCTCCTATCTACACTGTCGAATGCCTTTTCATAATCAATGAAGTTGATGTACAGTGACGAGTTCCACTCAACTGATTGTTCGACGATGATCCGTAGTGTTGCAATTTGGTCTGTGCACGACCGATCCTTTCGGAATCCAGCTTGTTGATCTCGAAGTTGGGCATCTACTGCATCCTTCATCCGGTTCAGCAACACTCTGTTGAAGACTTTCCCTGGTATTGACAGTAGTGTGATGCCTCTGTAGTTTTCACATTTGCTCAGATCTCCTTTCTTTGGAATCTTGACGAGGTGTCCTTCTTTCCAGTCCATTGGCACTTGTTCCTCCTCCCAAATCTTTTTGAATAGAGGGTAAAGCATGCTTGTGGTTACTTCGACGTCTGATTTCAGTGCTTCAGCTGGTATGTTGTCGGGTCCTGCTGCTTTCCCGTTCTTGATTTGTCTGACGGCCATTCTAATTTCTTCCGTCGTTGGTGGGTTGACATCTATAGGAAGATCTGTGTGTGCTGCTTCGATGTTCGGTGGATTCATTGGAGCCGGCCTATTCAGGAGTTCCTCGAAGTATTCTACCCATCTGTTTCGCTGTTGTTGAATTTCAGTGATTGGCTTGCCTTCTTTGTCTTTGACCGGCCTCTCTGGTTTACTGTATTTCCCTGATAGTTTCTTCGTTGTATCGTAAAGCTGTTTCATATTTCCTTCTCTAGCAGCTTTTTCTGCCGTCGTTGCTAATTCTTCCACGTATTTCTTCCTGTCGGCTCTAATGCTCCTCTTCACTTGCTTGTTTGCTTCTATGTATTCAGCTTGTGCTTGGACTTTCTCTGCTCGTGTTCGGCTGTTGTTAATTGCTGTCTTCTTGTTCTTCCTTTCTTTGATCTTGTCCAGTGTTTCTATAGAGATCCATTCCTTATGATGGTATTTCTTTAGACCGAGAACCTCTTGACACGTTGAAGTTAATGCTTCCTTGATGCCTTTCCAGTTGTCCTCCATGGTGGTTTCTTCTTCTTTCAGTAGATCCTGTAAGGCTTGGAACCTGTTGTTGAGAGCTATCTTGAATTCATTGAGTTTGTCAGTATCTCGAAGGAAGGCTGTATTGAACCTTTGTAGTGCTGTTTGTCCACTTGTCCAGTTCTTTTTTAGCTTCAGTTTTAAATTGGCTACAACTAGGTGGTGATCTGAAGCTACGTCAGCTCCTCTCCTGGTTCTCACATCTTCCATTGTCCTTCGGAATTTTTTGTTGATGCAAATATGGTCTATCTGGTTCTCTGTAGTGTGGTCCGGTGAGATCCATGTAGCCTTGTGTATACGTTTGTGTGGAAATATTGTGCCTCCTATGACTAATTTGTTGAATGCACACAAATTTGCAAATCTTTCTCCATTTTCGTTCCTCTCTCCCAGTCCATGTCGTCCCATAATATCTTCATATCCAGTGTTGTCTATTCCGACCTTGGCATTTAGATCTCCCATCAGAATAGTTAGGTCCTTTCTTGGGCATTTCTTTATGATTGACTGCAGCCGCTCGTAGAATTGATCTTTAATGTCGTCGTTGCTATCATTGGTGGGTACATAACATTGGATAATATTCATTAAAATCCCCTCCTTCTTTGTTTTGAATGATGCTTTGATGATTCTGGATCCGTGGGATTCCCATCCTACAAGTGCATTTCGTGCTACTTTGGACAGCATTAGAGCAACTCCCTGAGTGTGTGGAGCATTTTCCTCTTCGTGACCGGAGTATAGCAGCATCTCTCCCGTAGCTAGCCTTTTCTGTCCAGCTTGGGTCCAGTGGGTTTCGCTGATTCCCAGTACTGCCAAGTTGTATCTCCTCATTTCCGTTGCTATTTGGCTGGTCTCCCCGGTTTCCCACATTGTTCTAACGTTCCATGTACCTATAAAAAGTTTTGCTCTGGTTGTTAGAAGGGGCATCGGCCTCGTGGCTTCCGAAGGAACTCGGCTTTCACCATGAAGCGTCATAATTCTTCTAAATGAAGACCTTCTAACTCTCAGGGCAGAGTTAAAATGGTTTGAATTATTTTTTCTGGTAAGCGTTTTTTTAGCGAGTTAGTTTTCTACGGGATGGGGACGCTAACCCCATGCCCAACCCTCCTCCTTTACCCGGGCTTGGGACCGGCAGTAACTCTAGAAGAGCTACAAGACTGGCAGGATTCTAATCCTGTACTCACCCTGGATGGTGAGCAGATAGACGTAGTCGAGAAGTTCGTGTATCTGGGTAGCTGCATAAGTGCTGGTGGGAGTGTGAATGATGAGATCAATGCACGAATAGTGAAAGCCAGAGCGGCTTATGCCAATCTGGGCCACCTTTGGCGCCTTCGTGATGTTAGTCTGGCTGTAAAAGGCCGGATCTACAACGCGTCGGTGAGAGCAGTTTTGCTCTATGCTTGTGAAACCTAGCCTCTCCGAGCTGAGGACGTTAGACGACTCTCTATGTTCGATCATCGCTGTCTCCGAAGGATTGCTGACATTCAGTGGCAACACCATGTCAGTAATGCAGAGGTTCGGCATCGTGTGTTCGGGCACAGAGATGATAATTCAATTGGTGTCACCATCTTGAAACACCGACTTCGGTGGCTTGGACATGTTCTCCGAATGTCGTCCCAGAGAATTCCACGTCGTGCATTATTTGCCGACTCTGTGACTGGTTGGAAGAAGCGGAGAGGTGGTCAGTGCATGACATGGTGTCGTGGTATGAAAGAAAGCTGCAAAGGACTGGCTTCTGTTGGTCCTTCACGACTCCCTGGTTGGGGTCTGAGAGATGGTGCTACACAGTGGCTAGAGACGTTATCAGATATGGCTCAGAATAGAAGCCAGTGGCGATCCTGCTGTAACCTTCTTTTACTTTCTTCATAAAAAGTGGTTGTGTCTCCTTTAGCTGAAAGATTTCTTCTGGCTGTACCTTTCCGTGAATGAATTTCATTGCGGTCCCTAAACCATTTGCGACAGTTTGCTCTTGGATTGTTTAGAGGACAGTTGTGTCGACATAAGTAGTATATGACACTAACCACAAGTGAAATGCCTGGTAGCAGAAGGTTAAAAAGATCGAATTGAAGAGAACAGAAATGCAAATAGAGAGTAATTGTAATAATAACAGGAATAGAAGGACGATTAAGTTCGTAAGAGTCAGTTGATGGGAGATGTGCAAATGAAGTATTTATTGTAAGGTTTTCATATTTTACGAAGACATTCTGTAATTTGTATTAAACAATAGATTGGCTTTTTCCGTTTGAGTTCTCGTTCACTGTACAATGTCTTGAAAATCGAGCTTTTGTTTTACTGCAACATGATGTAATGCTCTTCAAGCAAATTTATAATGTAGGATAAATGATAACAAAGTGATTTGTTACATTTGCATTGGAGAAAATAGGTTTAATGAAATACCGTAAGTGCTGTGCAAACAAGTGTTGAAACTATAAATTGAAATATTCTGCTTCTCGATATCGTGGAGTTCCAATCGCCATGTGCCTTTGTTGTCTTGGATATGCCACCAAATGTTTGTTGTGGTTAATAAGTTATTTTATCTCATGACTCTTCCTGATTGTGTTCATTTTGTTTCAGTTTGGTTGGACTCATGAAGGTGGTTGGTTATCAATCCTGGCATCAACTTTTGTCAGGTAGGTTGTGTATATTTAATCACCGACTTTCGCCCTTACAGTCTTAATATGCAATTATATTCACTAACTACAAGGAAATCGACTGTGGTTTATCTAGAGCGACAATTGTTTAAATATCGCATGTGGTCATTACAGTTTTTTGTCGATTTGCAAGTTAACCTTGGTAATTTTGTAGGAACCGTCAAATAGTACACGCTCGTTTGCAATATCGTGTCTGCAATTTCTTAGTAAAGTTTAGATTGACTCCTCATCAGTTGATTTGTCATATTGAGTAGTGGATTAGTGGCAAATCCTACGACCAAAAATCATTCTGGATTCAAAAAAGCTAAGGTTACTCGAAGTCAGTTACACTATAGCAGATGTATTCATTATTTATCTTACAAATCTAAAACCTGGTACTTCATACTCCATTGACTTTTCTGTTCTAACTCGTTAACATCGAGTTTCTTCCAACTATATTGTTTTTTACACACTCATATGCAATCTGCTTTACTTGGAGATGTTTATTTGTGACCGATTTAAAAGGTTGTTATGTAATCGACCATTTGAATCGAGTTGTTCTGTATGCTAAGATGGGTTTCTCCCTTTCCAACAGTACTTAGCTTAGTTGTTTAATATTTAAATACAAAATGAGTAGTAAAGTTTTCGACTGATGGCCTGTATAATACCAAAGATAATATCTTCAATTATATGAAGCAATATGTTTGTGAATAAAGGACTAAATTTAAAACGATTAGATTCCAGGTTCGTCCCACGTCCTATCTACTTTGAATTGATCAGATGGGTAGTTTGTCTATTTCCCAGCAATCCAGACTTCAACTGAGTGTTGGATCTCGTATTTGGTTAGTATCGTGAATTATTACTATCATATTTATATCATTAATGTGAAAACTCTTGATGTTTATTCTGTGGTTATAAAATAAATAAACTGAAGTTAAACATCCAATTTACGCCACTTAAACATAAAAAATTCACCCGAGTTAATACGTAGCTATAAATTTTAGGTACATAAATCTAACTCAGTAAACAAGTAGATATCCGTCTATCGCACTATAAATCAAAAATAATTTGCAGGACTTAATGCCTGGAATTAATTTGAACGTCCCAATCCAGTGGTCAAAGCTTAAATGCTAACATCGCTATAAAATCACATCAAACAGGGATACGAAAAGTCAAATCCAAGGACAATTAATCAGCAAATCGTAGTTGGAAATCATGTTTTTTTCTTCAGAAATCCCTTATCACTCAAAATGGAGGTTGTGTGGACTAGTTTTGATAAAGAACTGATTATGAGGAAGTAAATTAAATCAGTCAGCAACACTTAAATCATACCGATAATTAATTCTTAACTAGATTTGTTATTAATTTCAGGAAGATAGATATTGTTGGGAGAGGTTATTCTGGTTATAACACTCGTTTGTGCAAACCATTACTTCCAATCCTCTATCCAAATAAGGACTCACTAAAGGATTGTAAATTTTTCACTATTTTTCTCGGAGCTAATGATGCTTGTGCCACTCCACAACAGCATGTACCAGTTGAAGAATACAAAAGTAATCTAAGTTGGATGATTGAATATATTCATGTATGTTTTATGAGGTTTAATAAAGAATTATGAAAGTAGTTTCTATCAGATTTTTTTATGATTTGTGTGAAACCTATGAAGTAGGCTTCTATAAACGGGCTTTTTGGATTATTAATTGGGTGCAAAGAATGTTAATCAACAGACTGTATGCTTGATCGAGTGATGGCTGCTCACGAGATCAAATAATTGATGTAAGTCTCTAAATGACTTAAGGTCGAAAACAAGCCAGAACAATAGATTTTCTATATAATAAAATGTTTATATGCGAAATCTTAGCACAAAAATAGCATGATAAAATGTCATAAGCGATTGGAAGAAGTGAATGTGCACGTCATCCACCTTCAATTAGCATATCAGATAAGTGGACTACCGGTAACATTTTCGCTTACACGAAGTAAATATATATATAACGAAAAGTTTCTTAACACAGAATTGAGACCTTTTTTTGAATTCAACTCACCTTTCAGCTTAACATAAAAACAAGAAGTGTTGCAGCTTTGAGAGAGGAGTAAATGTTCTCAATTTCAAACGTCTCTAAAACAGTATATCACTGAATGTTGTTTCGCCAAGTGTAATTATTATTTGTCACTAACTTTTGTCCTCTAATCTGTTACTCAATTGATTTTCCTTCCAATAATAGAAATTGGACGTGCCTACGGATCACATTTCACTAATCAGTTTACCTCCTATTGATGAAAATAAATGGGGTGCTATTGAAATAGCTAAAGGTGACTCAGAAATTTAGTTTTTTATATTATATTACATTATATATATAATGATTGAAAGCATTGGTTAAACTAAAAATACTTCGTAAAACGGTTATGAAAGCAAAGATAACGAATTGTATACACGAAAGTGTCATAAAGAATACTTATCTTAAACTTCTGTGTCTGTACCCATTAATTTGGTATCTCTTTCAACCGCATTTTAATAAAATTAACGTTGAAAGTCATTTGTATAAGGAATTTACACTTGGTTTTTTAGGAAGGGCAATTACACGAAGACTAGATACTTGTGCGACCTATGCAGTTGCATGTCAAGAGGTTGCCAACGTCAATGAAGTTAGTATTGTGAATTTATATGAAGCTATGTTAATGCAAAAGGTAAGTTCCTCTTCTAATAAGTTCGATATTTTTGAATAATGGAAGCATAAATCTTTGCGTACACAATTTATAAAAAACTTTTCGGCAAATAAGATATACCGACCATTGTCCCAAATGTTTCGGTTTAGTAGTTGTATATCAGTGAATTGTAAGGTTACTCTGTGAGAATATCCTGAATATTGGGCGACTGTGTCTGGACTGCTTATGTTTACTAGTCGAAGGTTACTGGTTGATTTTTGACGGCTCATTCTACTACTATCCGGTCTTGTTTACGATAAAAGCAGACAGCTAATAAGTGATGGTACGTTACAAAGGCTAAAGTATTCGACAAAACATATTACATAACTAAAGTATTTTAAAACCCGCTCGAGGAATTTCTCTTCACGACTTAGTTCAATAAAAAGGGAATTAAAGCAGACTGGATCAGGTATATAAGTGGAATGCCTTTTCAAGACTAAATTCAAGATTCACTAAAGGAAGTACTCATTATTCAAGAAATCATTTGCTTTAGTGCTATTTTTAATCATTAAAATGGTTTTTAATCTTCTATTTGTCTACTTTCAGTGATACATGTCCAGCCAAAATAGAAAACAACTTGTAAAGTCGTTTAAAAATGTAGGTAGTAATGAGGTTCCAAGTCGTCAGGTGTTATAAGCCACTAATCCTAGCTTTTGGTGTTTTGATCAATGGCTTTTGCATGCTTATCTGAAAGCAAAACCCTTTTTATTTGTCTAGATGTCAGCAAGTGTTTGACTTCGGTTATTCACATAATATATTCATCCAAAGATACCATTTTAATAATGTTATTTAGTTGTAAATCAAACTCCTCAAAAATTAAATGAGTCTTTTCCTTTTCAGAATTGGGAGTCTTTTCTTTCAGACGGTTTACACTTTTCTAGAAAAGGATCTGAGTTTTTGGCAAGGATTTTAGAAAACTTACTTACGGATAAACTAGGTGACTTAAAGTGGTGGTTTCCGGATTGGAAAGTTATAAACCCGAACGATCCAGCGGAGTTTATCAGTCACTATCTTCAGTCCCAAATGTGATGTTTTCTAAATGACGAAAGACTTCTACGTGGCTTCGCTAACTATACTTATTTAGATACATTGATTGTTTCAATTGTCTTCATTTGTTAGTTCTTATGTAAAGAGTTTAAACTTATTTGGAACATAGATAAATGTAAACTTGAATGTTCTATTACAACTAAGAATATGGTTACTGTCCCTATTACTCTACGATATTCCATGACATTTCCATGTCGCTGTGTGGCATGTTAAATCAATGTACACTGTTATGTTTGAAGATATTACGGGTTCGCCTAATCTAAAAACGGAACGAAGACTATGTGATACAATGACAGATAGGCTAGCTATTCCGACGCGTCCCAACCCCGCGAACTAGAGAGAGAAGTCCAAGTTCGGAAGAGGCAAATATATTCCACAAATAACCACGACAAGACTAGTCGGAAATACACTCATTTATATATTGATTCATAGACCCGTTCTTGATTAAAAATTAGAATAAAATCATATATATGAAAAATACTTAGTTGTAACAAATCATATGCTGAGTATTGTTCATGTTAACTTAATACAAATATATCGTATGTTAAACAGAATAAAATGCAATATGGGAAAACGAAACAAATACTATACTGAGTAGTCATCACATTGAATTAAAACGGAATGAATGTTAAACGAAAATCATAATGAGTAAATCAATCTAATTTTGACTTTTCATCCCAAGTTCTACGTTGTATAAGACTAACGAGCATGCCTTACATATCCCGAACCACTGCCTTTGTTGACATACAATGTTGGCTGTAGTAAAAATACGTTAAAACAAGGGAAGGTGTAGCCAAACTATGATATAGTATCAGTTCATGAAACAATGAACTGCCAGCCTAAGCCATGTTGTTAAGTGCAGATTACTATAACAACGATCAATGATTGAAAATATATGGTGATATGTCCCAAATATATCCACTCTTTTATCCTTCCTTAGATCTTCAGTCCCTACAGTTCTTTATTTATTTGAACACAAATATTGATACAAAGGGGCACCGATTACATATGCGCCGCACATTCACTTGATTTGTGTGTGGGCTGTGACACTGCCCGAGTGCCCAAACTTGAGTAGGTGGTTTCCTTAGGGGGCTTTCGACCTAAAAGTCTAATCCACAATACAGTTTAGCAACGTCGGAAGATGCAGTTCCATGGTAGCCGGTGGTCGGCAATTTGTTCCCTCAGGGTCCTCACCCCGTGCGGGCCACTGGTTCGGAATCAGGGCTTTCCAACTCCAATAGGTGGACCCTCCGCGTCCACCAACCCGGTTTAAAGCGCCGGACATTTGCTTTTCATCCTTTCGATTGTGTAAACAACACCCCCACGCGATAAGGTAGTGAGTAGGACTTTCCTGACCGTGGCTATATATGCGTAGCCATATGAGAGTATTTCGAGAGGGAGAGCCTACTCTCCCCACCCTAGGCCGCATCAGGGCATTTGGGAGCACAGTCCTTCACAAATGCACTTTATTGAACCACTTTTCTCGATGACTACTCTTTCTCACATTTATTGATACTAGTACTTCATTGGCATTCATCTTTTTAATTTAATATGGCTGTGCAGATGTTTTATGAGAACTTACTTTTGCGACTTTAGCCCACCTAATTATCACATGACTTATTCGCCAACCAGAATAGATTTATTCAATCTTAGCACTATGCTAAACCAATAACGTACCGACCGGTATGAACAGCCTAACGTCCTTATTGCTCCTTTTCCCTCCTAGCCTGCCAGTTGGGAACAGAACACCAATACCACCTCACATCATACGAATCATTTATTTCAAACATATCTGGTTTATATACAAGTCAAACAGACCATATCACATCATAAAATAGAAAACAAAATTTGTACAAAATCAAGCCAAAAAGTGGCTATGATTGTGGGTGACGGTAAGTAATAAACTAAGTATAATTTAAGAACAGTAAATCGCATCATAATAGTCTATAGGTCAAAATAAAGCTTATAATAACAGGAATATAGATATACATAATTTAGTTACTGAATATATATATAATATTGGTCCATTAATAGTTCTCAGAAGTTACCTATAATTTAATCTTCACTAGGATCTAACACTTACGCATACCCACATTTGTGCTAGGGTTTATGCTGAATATGACCGATTGTTAATCCCATTTTCATCAAAATTATGTCCGTAAAGAAGATTCCTACTACTTGCCAGCCATGTAAATTTTGATTTATTATAAACTATGCCTAGTGTTTATGAATTCAGTCATATGCAAAGTAGAACCTAACACATATTTGCATCAATTCGAGTTACAACAACACAGCGAAATGCTGGAAAAGTCGAAGTAGTAAGAGTATCAGCGTTAGCAGTAAAGACAAGGCTTAAATGACATGACCTGAGAATATATGGGTTTTTGGAACATAAAAGGATACGATAATAACGATACGATAATAATAATCAATGATCTAAGGAAAGACAGTGATATTACCCGGGCCATTGTGATCTATTTCGAACCGCGTTGCCCAATGTCATTAATCATTGATCCCAGTTATCGTATGGACCCTAACCATGTAATCCGCATCTACCAACATGGCTCGGATCAACAGAAAATAACTTCATGGACTAATTGTTAGGTCTTAGTTTGGCCATCCTTACCTTTCTTTCAGCGTACTCTTACACCAGATATTACCGGTCGAGACAAGCAGTGGCCAGACATATATAACACATGCCACAACCACCTCAGTCGATGAAGATTCACTATTTCATCAACCAGTTTGTTATCTTGAACTAGTGTTCTACATCTAACTTCAACATTACTCACTCAGTTGACCCGAAGCACACGAGCAATGCTTTGGAGGCACATGTGACTGAATACTAGTAAATTAAAAATATCCTCTATTCTTAATGACCATAGTAAAGGACAACAATCCTTTTGTGAAATCAATTGCCGGAGTTGATCTGATCGACCAGAAGTATACATCACAGAAGTAGGTAGAATCAAACATAGCAAAGAACTCAGGTCAGCCACTCAACAATGTAAACTGTACGTACGTACATCAGTTCGAGTCGCCATATCATATTGGCACAGAGATACAATCGTCAATTCAAATCCCATAGTGATAGAGTATTGATAAGTCTTATCGATTGAACGCTATATTAGTTCCCTAAGCTATTCTGGTAACCTGCAAGCTAGAACTACACAGCGACATGAACACCAGAGAGAAGACGCAAGTATGAGGGAAAATACTTTACTCCAAGGTTCATTCTATTACAGAAAATATAGGGTTTTTATAATATTTTAAGTTTCCTTGGGTCGCTGGAATGCTACAAAAGATAGCAGCACTGAAGTAGCCAACCAATCAGAGCTTCCGCATGCGACGTTTCGCTACCTTGATATTTCTGGCCAAAACTCCAAGCAAACGCTGATTGGACAGAACACTTCTCAGTGTTTCTTCATGCTTGCTCGTCTTTCGCAAGCGATTTCTGGATCACCCCAACAAGTATAAGCAGTAGTCGAAAACACTAAGGTTCGAAGATGTTATTCAAGAAGTATAAACCAGTGAAATAAATTTGGGAAGAGAAAGAAAAAGAGACAAGGAGGAATCAGGAGGTTAGAATTTGGGAGAACACAAAGAGTGTTCGCACCTGCGGCATTGCAAACGATTTTGAGCCATGTCATTCAGGATCTCTAACCATCGGTTGCTATCTTCTCGCGGTCCCAAACCAGGAAGTCTGCACCTAGCGACATGGCTCAGACCACTTGTCAGTGACTTCATGAACTTGTGTCATGTTTTCGTTTGGCCGCCTCTAGCTTTTTTTCTACCTACTCCTGTACGAGAAAACATCGCACGTCGGGGCAGTCGGTCGTTAGGCATACGTAACACGTGTCCCAGCCATCTCAACTGATGAAGTTGCACTACGTCATCAATTGATTTGACATACTTACCTAGTACCCGTTTCCTAACAAGTGAATTACTTACTCGATGGTCACAGGATTTATATGAGCGACAGTCTTCTACCGAGCCCCTCCATCGGTGGCTGGTAGCGATGTGATCTATTTGGGTCCAACGTTGGGACGAATTAGGGGGTCGCCATGTTAAAAGATGTTTTTGCTTATGCTTAAAGTTAGTATTTGCAAGGAACAGGCGGTTATCTGAGCATAGCTGCAACAGACGGTCGCCATTATCTGTTCGTTGAACCATGACGCTATAAGATCCACCTAGGTGTCTTTCCCTTTCGCTTAGTTTACCTACTTGAGCATTAAAGTCACCGGCCACTATTACTACATCAGAGCGCCTAGCTTTTAGGAGGTCGGAGAGCCTTCTGTAAAACTCATCTTTCACATCATCTGCGCTGCAGTCAGTGGGAGAATAGGCAGAGACGACGAAGAGGCAACGACGAGTGTCCCTATCTTTCCGAGTCCTTACTGTTCCGTTTAGTCGGACAGCGCACAGACGACTGTCTACTGGGATCCAGTCTAAGAGAGCTAGTTCTGCCCTAAGATTCAATGCTATACCTACACCAGCGAGTCCACGAAAAGCAGCATCTGGGCTTCCAGATACACGAAGTGTGAATCGAGGAACATATGTTCCAGCCAATATAGCTCGGTTGGGTCATCACGACAGGCAAGCCCGACCACCGTAAGATCCACCTAAGTGTTTTTTGGTTTGGTTTATTTTACCTACTTGAGCATTAAAATCACATGCCACTATTGCTACATCAGAGCGTTTAGTTTTTTTGAATGATGTTGAATAGCTTTTTATAAAACTCATCTTTAACTTCATCTGAGCTGCAAGCAGTGTGAGCAAAGAGAGAAACGACGAAAAGGTAACAGTGTGTGTGTTTATCTTTTCGAGTGCTTAGGGTCCCGTTTATTTGCACGGAGCACAAGATACTGTCTATTGGAGTCCAGTGTAATAGAGCATGTTCTGCTTTTGATCTTAGCGCTATATCTACACTAGCAAAGCCACAGGAAGTAGCAATAGGATCTCCAGATGCTCGAAGGGTAGGTAGTTCGGGTTTTTTCATCGACAAGATGAGGCCAAATGAATGACTGTGGTTAGATCCTGTAAGCGCGTTTCAGAGACGAAACATACATCGATGGCGCAGTGTTCAAGAATCCTAGCTAAGGAAGCCTATTATCTTATCTGACACAAGGTTCGAACATTAAAGGCTCCAACATGTAATAATAAATGTGATTTGGTTATGTCCCAATGAGCATAAAAATTGTACTTCTGTACTTCTGTTTCGTGACTCGGTGTAGGCCGCTTCTTCAGAGTAAACAAATGACCCAAATTAAATTAACACAAGCTCAAATAGTGCTAAAGAAACATACTATTTAAACTTCTGTTCATTTAATTTTGCTTGCTATATTCAGATGCTTATATTGATATACCGCCTATAACGTGAACACTAGAACGCTAGAACCATCCCAAGTCGCAATGAGAAGACTAGTGAAAGGGAAGTTATTCCAGACAGTGTCAAGTTAGAGTACAAACTGTCAAGTATTTATGGTTTTTAGTAAAAATGAAATCATTATTATAGCTATCCAATCCACACACAAGAGGTTATTAGCATTGTCCAATCGGGAAGCTACATGTAGAGATTCTAGAATATTACTCCAAAAGATGATTGGATGGAACATCTTCGGCTTTTTCTGAGCTTCTTAAGGCTTCCTCGAGTTCACCCGTGGACCGCCCTCACCCCCCTCTTTTTAAGTCTGTTGTGTAAGACTTTTTTTCCCGGATCCACCTGAAACTTGGTTGCCGAATTTCTTTTGCAGTCTACCACTCTAAAAGGTTGCACAGCTTTGCCCTTTCGTCGTTTATCTCTTCTATATTCGCGCTCCTGAGGGCTTTTCCGAGATGAATCCACGAGCAATTGAAATGGGAGTCATCTTCGTGGGACAAATATGTTCTGCCGTCTCTTTGGATTTGATTTGTGTCTTATACATTTTCCGACATTTTCCCGGACTCGGTACAGTCTATTTCTGATCCAACGTTCTATGATACCTGGTTCCTACTTCCTATTACCTTGATACGATTTGACAAGTACCCTTTCACCCACCTGAAAGCTATGAGTGACCGTACGATACTTATTCGTGGGTTCATTTGTCGTTCTGCGCGGCAATATACTGCTAAAGACTGTTCAGATTTTCCTTCCGAACATACACTCGGCTGGTGACTTTGCTTCTGGTACTGCCGGACTAGGGGTAACTCTGTAAGACACTAGGAACTTACTGATCACTTGTTCTGGGATACCCTCACCTCCCGCCTTGACCAAAGCTCTTTTTATCGTATTCTCGAATCTTTCTGCTTGACCATTCGACTGAGGATGGTACGGAGGAGATTGTAGTTGCGATATGCCATTTTCCCTGCAAAAGCGTCTAAAAGCGGGTGACATGAACTGAATGCCGTTGTCAGTCACCAAGATCTTCGGAACCCCAAAACAGGCAAACAACCCTGAGAATCTTCAAATTGTACTCTCTGGTGTCGTTTTCAGCATGTCATATACTACTGACCATTTTGTGAAAGCATTGACAACAACCAAGTAATTTCTGCCTTGTATTGGTCCGGCGAAATCAGCGTGTATTGTTTGCAAAGGCCCGTCCGGTTTCGGCCACTCGTGGACTGTCCTCACAGCCTGTTTATTTACTCTGAAGAAGTGGCTTACACTAAGTCACGGAACGTTAGGAATACAATTTTTATGCTCATTGGGATATAACAAAAATACATTTATTATTAACTCTACGCAATGCTCAATTTATTTGAAACTATCAAGTTCAACCTTGGTATTAATGCCGATAAGCTCCAACATGTGCTTTAGAGTGTAGTGGAAAAGATGTACAAGGAAGGTTAACCATGAGGATGGAATACTTAATAAGAGGTGAGGGATTCGAGATTATCTCGGGCGCTGATAGATATGAGGGCGGTTGTTACTTCCCGGCTGCCCACACCGTGTAAGGATATTTCTTAAGGGACCTGAACAAAAGCTGAATTAGTGGTGGTCTGAGCGACCTGAGAGAGTGATTGTAGAGCTCAAGGAACAACTGCTTAAAGCCGGTCACACATTGCCTCTTTGTCTGATCTCTTCCTTCCGTTGTGAGAAGGCAGTATCCCTGCAGATGCCGAGAAACACCTTACGGATGTCGCACCTCTCCACAGTTGGCAGTACGACTTTGCCCTCGGACCTTCAGTTGCTGTCTTAACGTTCTTCAAGCTGATATGGTAGGGCCTAAAGGAACGTTTGTTCCAGCCGAGATAGCTCGGTTGAGTCATCACGATAGGCGATCCCAACCACCACGTCAAGGCAGCAGCTACGGTCGGAATTTTTTAGTTCAAAAAGGGATATATTTAAACACTTACTAAGGTTCCAGACAAAGAATATCGTACAATAATTTGTACCAACCTTCTCAGCGAAGAATGAAAAAAATGAAGGTATACAAGTATTAGTTAGAAAATTAATTGACGAAAACAATTTCAAACAGTACTTCTAGTACTGGTTGATGAAAGCCAATGACTAATAGCATACAATGTCCCCAGTGTTACAGGACTAGGTCCATTACCAACTTCGAATTCGGGTCTGGTATTGTGTGAAACAGTTGGATTGCGACTTGATGTTAGTCCACAAATAAGTTGATTCACGGGTACCGATTGCCAATCAAGAGAGTTTACACCCCAATACCTAAAAATGTAGAAAATCCAGAAAACTTTTTATTAAAAAATGGACGTTTTATTGCCTTGATATAATATTTCACAATTTATGTGAAAGAAAAATAGAGAGCAGTGGTAAAAGACAGTTGCTTACCAGCAGTGGTCAATTTCCAATTACTGTGACAATACACCTGTTGTTTGATGATTGAAACCCATGGTCATCGTTATTGGAGTACACTCTTTAAGCTCACACAAATGTGAAACAGAAAATTATAAAGTATGGTATAATGTTTGAGTTCGGTTAACTTCTTAATCAAGAAGAATGAAAAACCTTCAGCAATTTTCAGCAAGGTTCGTTTCTGAGAGATGAGGATGCTAAATCCATCCAAAACTCCGCTTCTTTATCCGGGACTGAGACCGGCAGTAACCCTAGAATGGCACCAAGAGGGTGGCATTTCTGTAATTATAGAAATATCTGGAACTTAAAACAACAGTCAGCCAACACAAAAATCAGAACCTTCAATACGAACGTCAAGACAGTTCTACTGTACAGAGTTGAAACTTGGAGAACTACAATCATCATCAGAAAGGTACAGGTGTTTATAAACAGCCGTCTACGAAAGATACTCCATATCCGTTAATCAAACACCATCAGCAACAACATAATATGGCAAAAAACAAATTCCAGCTAAAGAGGAAATAGGATACACATTGCGCGAATCATCAAACTGCGCCACAAGGCCTGCTCTAACTTGGAATCCTCAAGGCAAAAGGAATTGCGGAAGACCAAAGAACACATTGTGTCGAGAGTCGAAGACAGACACTAAAAGAACGGACATCACTTGGGAACAATTAAGAAAGAGAGCCCAGGGCGGAACAGGTTGGAGATGTCTGGTTGGGGGCCTATATTCCACAAGGGGTAACAAGCGTAAGTAAATAGTGATAAAAACTATATTAAAGCGTTCAGCGATTTTCCCCTAAATGATGAAAGACAATTTTTCAGAAAATACTTTTATACAGTCAACAAAAATGTCTTAATGAAAACAAATAAAAATCATTCAATTTACCAAACTTCTGTTTGATCATTATCAATCTGGAAAGTGGATGGCATCGTTGATAACTCGGGATAAAGATATTCCGAATTACTGATTGTGGACTGATTTTGAAAATGTTTTTCAAATGCCTTCCAATCATCACTTAATTTATTGAGAACAGGTCTCGGGAGCCAAACGGCTGCACATACTTCATTTACTTCAAGGTTAAATTGTGGTAAGTATGAGTGAATATCATCTGAATCTAAAACAGATCTATAAAAAATCAAAAGACAGTATTTAGAAAAAGAATGGAGTTCAGGACTACTCAATATGCTTAATACCAAACTGAATATAAGGCCAAGGTATTATGGAGTAAATAAACTGAAAATTTTAAGGAGTGAAATTTTACTCGTCATTTATGACCTAGAAGGACTACAGTACGAAACCATTGAGCGAAATCTGTACTTTCTACAGTTCCCGGAGAAACTACCTTACGAAAGAATCATAATTGAAAAGAAATGACTACGACTGGACTTTATGCTTATTTTCCCGACCGTAGCTGCTACCTTGACGCGGTGGTCGCGCTTGCCTGTCGTGATGACCCAACCGAGCTATATTGGCTGGAACATATGTTCCTGAAGGTTCTACCATGTCACGCAGGTCGATTGGAGAACGGTAAGACTAAAAGCAGCAACTCGAGGTCTGAGGGCGAAGTCGTACTGCTGACTGTAGAAGGGTGTGACAGCAGTAAGGTGTTTCCCTCAAACAAACAGCATCTGCAGCGATGCTGCCTTCCCACAAGGAATGAAGGGGTTAGAAAAGGTCGACCCTAAAAACATCACACCTCACCTTACCTCACGGATTTCCGTCTCAGGCGGTAAGGCCCTTTGAAGAACGGAGCTAACACATTAAAGACCTTCCACGAAAGGGCCGTGCGCGACCGGCCTCAAGCAGTTGTCCCTTGGGCTCTGCGGTCACGCTCCCAGGTCGTTAAGACCAACACTAATCCGACTTCTTTTTCAGGTTCCTCAAGAAATACCCTTCCACGGTGTGGGCAGCCGGGAAGTGATATCAGCCCTCATACCCGTAACAGCGCACGAGACCAAGTTGGTCACATTCAAATCCCTCCTACACCTAATACCTCTCTTATCTCCACGACTAACCCTTCTCACGTCTCTTTATCACCTCGCACCGCTAGGGCAAACGATTCGAGTACGCGGGACGTTATTCCACACTCTAAACTTCATGTTGGAGCTTATAACGTCGGAAAACTGTGCCAAATAGGACAGCAGGCTTCCTTAGCTAGGACTTTAGAATCTCGCACCATCAATGTGTGCTGCGTCTCCGAAACGCGCATACAGGATCCGAGTAGCGTCACTCACTTGACCTCACCATGTCAAAAACAAAGAACCAACTCGATTCACACTTCGTGTATCTGGAAGCCCAGATGCTGCTTTTCGTGGACTCGCTGGTGTAGGTATAGCATTGAATCTTAGGGCAGAACTAGCTCTCTTAGACTGGATCCCAGTAGACAGTCGTCTGTGCGCTGTCCGACTAAACGGAACAGTAAGGACTCGGAAAGATAGGGACACTCGTCGTTGCCTCTTCGTCGTCTCTGCCTATTCTCCCACTGACTGCAGCGCAGATGATGTGAAAGATGAGTTTTACAGAAGGCTCTCCGACCTCCTCCTAAAGGCTAGGCGCTCTGATGTAGTAATAGTGGCCGGTGACTAATGCTCAAGTAGGTAAACTAAGCGAAAGGGAAAGACACCTAGGTGGATCTTATAGCGTCATGGTTCAACGAACAGATAATGCCGCCCGTCTGTTGCAGCTGTGCTCAGATAACCGCCTGTTCCTTGCAAATACTAACTTTAAGCATAAGGTTAGTGCTCAGAATTTGGAATTTCGACTAGTATATATCAGAAATTCGACCTCATTTGTTGCTGACATAGATCGAAAAACTCTAGACCTATGTCAATTATCCAGAATTTGCATGGTAATCCAACACTGTGTAAAAAGGGAAGTATGCACTTTAAAGTTACCTAAAATTTAAAATCACGGTAGGAAAAAACATACGCACGTATCTGAATAGTAAACAAAAAAAGCTGAAAATTATAATTCTTACGTTGAAGAACGAGACCAATTAACAGAGTAATATATAACCATATGATGAGATTTAGGAAAGATAGTAGACTTTCCGATTCCTGTATCTAAACGAGAAGGATAGGAAGCTTCCCATGCACAGAGTGGTTTGATAGTACATTCATTCATTACATTTTCTTTCCCATACGAATGTAATCCTAACTCTTCTGTGAGTTCACGAAATGCGGTGTCCTGTGATTAGTAACACAAGTAAAGGATTACGCCATAATTATATCACTATACAACCATCAGCAGCACAGATAACTGGTATTTTTATTCTATCTAAAAATATTTTAGAATACTGTAGATGAGTGATCATTTATACCGACAGGTTATTCGTGGGAATGTTATGTTGTAAAATAGTTCATATTATTTCTTACATTACTCTACTTTCCATAGGTCAACACCAATAAACTCTAGGAAACTAAATATTTGTTGATCAATGAAAGAACTGTATCATCTATTCTGAAGTCACGTATATATTTTAACATTTTTCACTTAAGTGTTTGCACATTTGGTACAAACCAAATGTTAGATAGTCTTGAACAGAGCACTGAAAAGCCTCGTTATTGAAGAATATTTGAGGATCTACTAAATAAAGTCCCAATATTGATTAGAAATGTTTCACATATGCCCATTCGGAAATCCTGTATAATCAGTGTACACACGTTTTGGGATAAAGTGGAAGTTCAAATATTCTGACATAATTTTTGGCATACTTTGATGAGTTTTTAAGGTGAGAAATTCGGTTGAAGTGAGAGGTAACCGCTAAGATGAACTGTAAATTTTTTTATATCTGCCCAAGTTACCACAGACTGCAATGGGGACGCGAACGAATGGGTAGGTTCCTTCGATAGATATTATAACGCTACTTAGGAATCTAAATATGTAGGTCAGATATGTAGATACAGTGGATGCTTCTAAAAGCAGGGTTGAAGTAAATTATAAATTATTTTCTAATAGCGGTAACACTCTACATAGAGGATGAGAAACAGATAACCAAGAATTCTTCGGGTTACTGAATCTAAATAAAGAATGATATAATCTCCCGTACGATGTGGACGTACAAATAATATTGGATACAGTCGTGCAGATTCCAACCTCTAATTGGATACTTTTTCCATAATAAACTACTTTTTGTGAATAAATAAATTGAGATATCTGGAAACCTTGTTTTTCTAAGTACTGCACTGAAACATTAGTACACAGAATTATATTGAGGCAAAAAATATGGTCGTTTCCTAATAAGGACAAAAATCGATTAAAGAAACACACCTGAATAGGTTCTTTAGCTTCACAATGACCTCCAGGTGGAACCCAGACACCTGGATAAGATCGCATATGCCACGGTCTGCGAGTGAGAAACAGACCATCTAGTCCAGACAAATGCAGAAGGCAGCAGCACGCCACAGGAATCCATTTGGGACAAGATTTCCCATATGAGTCTAGGAAGCGTCGGTTAGACATAGCAAAAGGACAAACACGTGGACGCTACAAAAAAATAAAACTCTCTAATCCCATAAAAGGATGTAATTCCCAGAGGATGTAACTTAAATAAATTTGTGATGTTTTGTACACAGATAAAAACTCGATTAATAAATGGACAAAGATATTATGTACTTAGTACAAAATTATACGATTCGCTCACAGAACTATTTTGACATAAATCTCGCGGTTTTGTAAGAAAGTTATTAATGGATTTTATTCAGTATGAATATTTTAGACGTATGAATATTCAAAATTCATAGCTAACGAAACTCTCAGATCAACATAATATTTGCAAAAGCTGATAAAGAAGCCATATAATGCTTGAGACATTCAAAACATAAAATCCCGATAACCATTTCAGCACCATAAAGTGACTGATAGTCAGTCAGTCAGTCAGCTACAACGTAGGACCAGGCACATATGTGCATCGGTCCAGGTTGCCATACCGCATCAGCACAACAAGATGAACACCGGATTGATAGCAGTGGTTAGGTCAAAGGTAGTAATATATGAGAGAAAGATTGCATATAGAGATATAGTACAAGAAGAAAGAATTAGTTCATAGAAAGAAAGATGGTTTGGCCGCCCCTAACTTTCTTCCAACCATCCCGAATACCCGTTAGCATTACACGACGTGGTAATCGGTGTTCAGGCCTACGTAACACTATCCCGACCATCTCAGTCGATGAAGATTCATAACCTCATCAACAGATTTACCATCATTCCCTAATACCCTGCGTCTAACCTCACTATTACTTACCCGGTGATCCCAGCAGACGCCAGCAATATTTCTAAGGCATCTGTGGTCAAATACTAATAGCTTACGAGTGTCTTCTACTCTTAATGGCCATGTTTCGCTGCCGTAAATTAAAACAGAACGGACTGCCGCGCAGTATACTCGTCCTCTTATTGATAGGCGGATATCTCGCCTTCGCCATAGGTGACGCAAGTTGGCAAAAGCCAATCGAGCTTTCCGAATCCGTGCTGAGATTTAGTCCGATACCAACCCATTAGGGCTGATCAGACTTCCAAGATAAGTGAAGTTGTCAACGCGTTCGCTTACTTCACTCCCTATCCTCAGTTTAGGTGTTGACGCAGGCCAGTCCTGAAGCAACAACTTGCATTTAGAGGGAGAGAAGCGCATTCCAAACATCCTGGCATTGTTGCTCAGTGCTACCAGAAGACTCTGCATTTTGTCAGCGTCTTCACTAAACAGGACTATGTCATCTGCGGGAAGTGATAACCGCCCTCATACCTCTAACAGCACCCAAGATCACTGTATTCATAAAGTGACTGATAACTTCAGTAATAAACTATAATCTACACAAAATTTAGCTACTACATGGCTTTTCGTGTGCATAAAAGTTTGTATGTTGGAGACACCTGAACGTCTTGATCCATCCTTTTCATTGTGACCAGTCGTGACTGCAACTATTCATCATGATAGCTCCTGGATATTTGTGCTACTGCACATATGTTTACAAAATCCAGCAAAAGATTGTTATCGGCACACTTGCTTAAACTTATTTCTGGGAAGCGATGCAGGAATAAATCTGAGCGGTTTGAAAAAATATCTTCTTGATAATAAATCTCATATACCATATTAAAAGAAAACGTCAATAACGTAAACTAACACGCAAAGGTATGTCTATCCATTCGAATCCCAAACAATCAGTACCAACAACTAGATTACACGAGTCCTGTCTAATTTTTATGGGTGTTTCATCTTCAAAACCAAGCGCATCCACCACCGACTAGGAATATCAGGGAAATCGATATGTCTCAAATACCTCTTTAAATTCTAACCGTCTTTGTAGCTTTGAGGAATAAACGTAAACCATACTACTAAGTTGTCTTTCTTGTGCTGAGACGATTTGGATAAAAAGGATCTTCAAAATACCTCGTTTAATTAAATTCGTAAGTGCTTCGTGAGTAAACACATATGTTTCTACACATATCAAGACAGTTCGAGATATGGTGAGTAAAAGCAGCACAACGCAAAAACTAGAAGTAAAATCATATAAAACATTATAACTTACACTAAGACAAATTAGAGGGTTGTCAAGTGCTTGGAATCCGCGTCCTGGTAGCACGAGACCGCTTCTAGTTACGTAAAGACACCTCTGTTATGTTTCTTTTGAAAACAAATGGCAGAAGCAAATAAGTCAATGAGTAACAACTAGAGTAATCCTCCTTAATACATAGGTACTAAAGCAAACGTCTCTCAATGAAGGACTCAGTAGAAGGTACTATTACAATTACCTTTGGGTGTTCTACAACTTACAAATCCTGACCACGAAGTGTGAATGGATTTCGTGCGAACTAACGCACGTTATCCTGAGTGAATGTTCTTTGAAATGTAATCTAATAACTATTACCTATTAAAATGAAAATTACGAACAATATGATGCACAAAGATAATGTCTCCATGAATTCTCCTACGCAACACATGTCACAAATATAAAGCTCCCAGGTAAGTTGGGTTCGAGTTATTTTCTAGTTCAAGTACCCCTACATTACTCTTATTTGAAAACCTTCCAGGAAAGCGACATCTTCAAGGTAGGCGGGACATGATGCAGAAGTACGTTCATGTGAAGCTAAGTCACCACCGAAAACTATAATAATCAAGGAGTCAAGCCGCCTAATATCCTGGAAAAAAAAACCGATTGAGTATGCCTTATTGGTTGGAGAATGCTAATGGGAATGGACCTTGGAGCTGAAAATAACTCTACATGATGATCTACTTCGGGTAGTACAGTGTGATACTAGATGTATCAACAGCCTTCACCACTAGTACTCTGCATTTACTGGTACTAACGTCTTTGTTGGTCCAGTCGAATGGCCTTTAAATTCAAGATGTCAGAAAGTCCTGGTATCTCTCCTCGAATCATTTGTTAACAGCCGAGTTTGAGTCACAGGTATTAGGTAGGTAAAAATAGCCGACTTCAACGGGAGAAGTCGACATATGTCAGAAGCTTTCCATGCCGATACAAAGTCAAGTGTGCGGCATTTGCGGGGAAAGTCAGAAGGAGTACTTGCCACGCAACCTGATATTAAATTATTTATGTCCCTAATTACACATGAGCTAAAGTTCCGCAGTCTTCGGCGTGCTAAATCTATCCATAAATTAACTAGTTTTTTGTAACACCAAGGTGCACCATGTGCATAGGATCTAGAGGAAAAGTTATAATCATATTAATAGAAAGCGTTTCCATTGCAGAATGTCCTTGATGGTGAATAGATTGAGTCTGACGACGGAAGGTGTCGTCTGTTCTTAAAGTATATACCCCTTTTGGAAAGGTTGTCTTACCCTCCAGCCGTCTCCCAAGAACAGTACACCTATCGCAACCTGCATCACCGTTATGATTCACCGTGTACCTAACAGAGGAACGAGCAGGTGAGTCGCATATAACAGCCGCCAACCGAATAGCTATGCATTTATTAAACTTGACACTAAAAAGACCCACGTTAGTCATTTCTTTTATTTCAGAAATTGTGTCCGCAGAAAATTCGTTGAATTCTGCGGGTTTACTATTCCCCCCGTAGATCCCTATCATGAACACGTCACTAAGCCGAGGGGCCATGATCCGTCCTAGTATAGGCCATAACTGTTGATTGGAGCTTCTAGACATGGAAAGTCCATCCATATTGACATATAACTTTAAAGAGTCAAAATCAGTAGTACACAACCAAAGCTCAACGTATCTTAGCAGATTGGTTTTCAATCCTAGATGGTAGTAAACCCCACTGCCGATGAACTTTTGTTGAACACTTGGACATGTCTTCAGAACACCTCTGATGCTTTTCGGTATGTCCGGGATAAGAAATCGTAGACCATACATAACCCGATCAGCACCTCTTATGCTCAGAGATGTATTTGACATTAGATACATCATAAAGTCGTTCATCAGTTCTTTGCGATTCACGAACTTTTGAGAGCACAAGTTCACTTCAGTATATCCTATAAGATAGATATTCACGTACGAATTTAATGTTCATACCACTATTATGTGAAAGCCTTTGATTGATGTTGCTAGTGGACGGTGTACTAGTCGAAGTACTTTCATTACAACTGACTTCTCTCTTTACTTCTATCAATTAAGTAAACAGCATTGTTAAACTCAGTTACCTTTTAGGGTGCTTTCATTAGCAAACTCACTGAACGAAAGAAAGTGATATTTTTTCATGAAAGCAGCTTTCATTTTATTCCACCTTCTGTTATAAGTAGATCTATGACAGCCAAGGGAACGTGACAAGTTCACAGTGGCCCTACGTCTACGAACATTCTCACTGACTTCAATAGAACTCATAGTATTGGCCTTACAAGGTAATCAGTTACAATGAACATGAAAATCTGGGAGCACGTCACTCACCTGCATCACGTAAGTTTTTTGTGATGGCTCCAAAGCATGTCGAAACACTTTAGCTAAACAACAAACGAAGTCACTCTATATGCGTATCAACCGAATGCCTAATTCCCTATTTCGTACATTGTTTCTATGACAATAGTTTTGTTTTTTTTATTAAGCGGTGCCTAAATTTGTCGAAGTTTATGAAAATTTCAGTTCCCGATGCGGTTCATTCAAACACTGTACGTTACGGCGAATTGTCGACAAATTTCCCCCAAATACACGACGTAAGGGGGAAAAAGCGACATTTCCCCTAAATAACCGACGTAAAGGCGAAAAAGCGACATTTCCCCTTTGTTCCCCTTTCATCCGCTTTATTTCCCATTTCTGCCCCTTTATTTCCCCTTTTTGTGTTGCATCGGAAAAAGGAAATTATGACACCGCGTATCAGGTGCGTGGTAACATTTCAGGCTTCAATGATAAAGATAGGAGGTCTATCGACCTATGTTAACCCTTGCAGTTTTTAACTCTGTGGAGGTCCAATCTCGTTTTGAATGTATCAACAGAAGGTACTGACATTACATGTTCCGGTGGAGAACATAGAACAACATCGTTTTAGAAAGGGTCTATCTTGTACAACGAACCTCCTTAAGGCAAGACAATATTAGATCACCCCGTATTCTACGGTGAGATAACGAAAATAAGTCAAGGTGTATCGGTCTGTCTTCACAAGATAGGCCAGAGAAACCGTTTACAAGTTTATTCCCTCGTCGTCGGACTCGTTTCAGCATATCCACCTCATAATTGAAACAAGGACTCGCTACTTCAAATGGTTCAAATGGTTGTGGACGGAATAGAAGAAAATTTCGCTTAACAGGCTTCCGTGTCTAGTAGCAGGAACCACCAAATCCTCTAGGCAAGTTATAAATGTAGTCTGCGACATGTCGCAGATGGACTACTTTACAATTTGAAGTGTGTAGTGTCAGTCATTATTTTAAGCCCATATACCTTATTCTAGTTTTTGGACAAACCATTCTATTCATTCTACTAGAGTCATATTTTGACCTTGTCAATTATTAGCTTATTAGTCTTGACTGTTTTTATCCCATTAATCATATGTCTGTAGCTTTATTTTGTTTGACTATAAATATTGAGTAACGCTTGACTAAAATGGGGTTGGCTTCTCAGACATCTTCTATGCGTGTCATTTTGCTCTGCTCCGTTTCATTTGCTTCATATACAAAATATATGTATTCTCAAGTCAATTCTCGTTATTCGAATTATTTAATTCTGTTATTGGATAACGTGATTTAAGTCGACGATTATATACGAGAGTAGGTGATAACAAACATTTATACGATCATGGAGTTTGACCAATGGGCCACTAAAATGGTGAACCCTTCAACGAACATCGTCCGATTTAAATGAGGACAAAATCAAATTACGGGCCACCAAAAGTGTTAAAGGTAAGTCCGTTATCGTCCGCCCAACTTTGAAGTCGAGTCAGATCCTCCTGAAGTGCCTGTATATCGTCTTGGTTGCGTACCCCTCTCCAAAGTTTTACGTCGTCGGCAAAAAGTAATAAGTCTGTGTAAGTTCCATTTTGAATGTTTTGTGTGTTTGTGAAAATCCCTCCATGTATATACTTGCACTTTGTTCCTATTGATCCCCTTAGTTGTACATTGTTGTCTTCTGATCACATTTTAATTGTCAATATTTGTATTCTATTACAGTTTCATTTTTGTTACGCCTTCACTAAGTTTTCGTGTTTCTTCCCGAACTGCATCAGTGTTGTTTTACTTGTTGCTTGTTCTTGGCGGTAGCCATATTGATTTGCTCCTCCTTTTGTGTGTGTTCTATCCAGTCAGGATAGAATAACGTTCATTTGTTGTGACTGGTAATTTTCCCTCATCTTTTATCAACTTCTTTATTTATTGTAATTTAGGTTTTATTGATTGAACAATTATTGGTTGAATAGCCGGGTGGTAATATTTGTTTAGGTAACGATTTACATATAAATTTATGATGAATTATAGAACCGCTATTTACCCGATTACTTGTTCTGATTTTGACGGGCAAAGGCGCGTGTCTAACGTACCTGGAAGGCTATTTAGCAGACCAAACCGTAGTTTGGATTTTACAGTCTGACAATACCTGTTGAGGAAAATCATTTATCTAAACCAAGAAGAGAATACGTCCTAGTACTGAGCCCTGGGGGACCTCACTAGGACATTCCATAGCCTGAGATAAAGTGAAATTAACCCTAACCTTAAAATATCGATTTTTCAGGTATGAAGTGAGCCAATCGATTAGAGGTGGTCTGATACCCAATCGTATGAGCTTATTGACAAGACATGTATGGTTAACCTTATCAAAAGCTTTTGAGAAATCAAGGTAGATGATATCAACCTTCCCCTTGTGATCAAGAATACTTGTCCATCTTTCTACCGCAGTCAGCAGGTTGGTGATACAAGAGTAACCCTTCCTGAAACCATGCTGTTGGGGTGAGAAGAAATTTAAGGACAGTAAATAGTCACTTATACCATCGCATATCAGGGACTCCATGGTTTTTGAGGGTATGGAGAGAAGAGCCACCGGTCAGTAACTTGAGGGTTCGCTGCGTCGACCTCCTTTGGAAATCGGTGTGATGTGAGCCAACTTCCAATTTTCCGGTAGTTTTCCTCGACTTAGCGAGTGTGAGAACATCACGCTAAGCGGAGCTGCTAAGATTGAGGCTGCTTCCCTCAGTATGGCGGAATGGACCATGTCCGGGCCAGGAGAAGTGTCTAATCTTAAGTGCTGCAGTTTCCAGAACACCAAGTCAGCGCTTAGGTTCACTTTGGAAAGTCCTGTGGAATTGCAAACGAAACTGTCATCAGTAAAGTTAATGTCGGTCGGTTGAAATGTCTGGGAGCAATGTCCAGCCAGAAGGTTAGCGGCGTCACCATCGTTGTTGGTCGGGCCGTTAAGACCTACCAGTTGGGAAACTCCAATTTTGGCTTGACGAAGAGAGGCTGCATAACGGAATAAGCTTTTAGGATTAGAGGTTAATTTGTCCATAAGCTTTGTCTGTACTGAAACCTATCTTCTCTTGTAGCCTTCGTGCATATGTTCCTGATATGCTTATATTGCCTGTACGCTCCGTCGTTGTCAGTTCGTTTGTATTCCACCCAACAGTGTCTTTTGCGGCTTAGCAGGCGAAGGATACGGTTCTTCATTATTTTAGGTGGCTTGCAGCTTTCGGGAACCGTTTGAGGAACTGAATGGTTTGTAGCACATAAGAGCGTGTGCAGTAAGAAGTCCCAATGACCATCCACATCGAGTTGGGGGTGAACATCCCAAACCACCGGTTGTAGATAGTCGTGTAGAGCTGGCACATTCAACCGTTTAAAATTCCAACGCAAGTTATTGGTAGGGTATCTTAGCTTAGTTTTGCTGACAAAATTGAAGGCTATGACCGCATGATCGCTTTTTCCGAGGTGAGCCAAGATTGAGAGGTTGTCAACTAGAAATGCTTCGTTTGTGAATACACAGTCTAAGCGCGATGGTGTCTGACTGTTTCTCCAACGAGTTGCCGACCTCACATTTTCGTACAATCCCAAGTCATCGATGAGGTTGAAGAACCGAGCTCCAATTGAGTTGTCGCCCCCAGTATACGTGTGTTCCGCGAAGTTGACTCTAGGGAGATTAAAGTCCCCTAGGATCAGGATGTGTGTGAAACCGAGACGAGTAGAGCGGGATAGCCCTTCCAGCATACGACTGTCGTAATCGGTGTCGGCAGTTGGCTTCCTGTAAATGACTCCGACTAGACACCTCGAAGTACTTGAAAATCTTACAGAGCACCATATAAATTCCTCAAGATTGTTAAACTCGAGGTTATGAACTTGATGCACCTCCAAGCAAGAACGTATGTAAACAGCTACTCCGCCCCCATATCCTGATTTTCTGTCATCGCGGAACAAAGTAAGCAGTACTTTAGTGTTTTTTTTCTGTCATTGGTATTACCGTGCATTTCTTCAAAATCGGTTTACGTAAAGAAATCGAGGTGGGCCTGTAGTTCACCAGTTATATTGTACTTTCTGGAAAGTAGATATCTGGCTTGATCATTGTATTAAATGTCTATTTATTCATAAGATTTCCTGTGACAGGGTTTATTATCACATTGTCGATTATTATCACATCCCAGGTAATGCTAACTCATGGTCCGAGAACTGAGAAGATACCCAGGTTTCAGATATTCCTATCAGATGGGCCTTACTAGCATTGCTAAGATCACGTAGTTCATCCAGTTTGTTTGGTAGACTCGCGGCGTTTATATATAAGCAGTTTATGCTTTCAATTTGGAACGCGTGAGCTTCGTCCTGTTTGTCTGTCTGAGCCTTACGTGAATAGGCAGGTAGCCCACCTATATGGGGTTTCCCGAGGTGGTAGGCCCTGTCCTTTACACGTTTTTTTATCGTCTCATATTCCAAATGCGGTCTTACAAAAGTCACGTATAAAAACCTAAATATTTCATTATCTAAATACTGGAAAGACCTACGAAAAGACCATAATATCCTATAGCCTTTCGCAGCAGCATTCTTACAGTGACTAGTGGTTTTGAGAACACTACTTAATATGACTCCTAAATCTTTATAGCTTCTTACTTTGGGTAGAACGAATCCACATATTGTATAGTGATACAATTCGTCATAGTTATTTAATTGCGTTACCACACTCTTATTAGGATTTACTTGTAGTGACCACCTGTCCAACCATGCCACCAATGAGCTAAGATCATTCTGTAATACCATCCTATCCGACATACTGTGTATGGGTCTCCAAATTTTTATGTCATCAGCGAATAATAGAGAGGATGATTTTGGTACAGTTGGTAATTCATTTACATAAAGTAAAAAGAGAAGAGGCCAGAGGATTGTGTCTTGGAGAACTCGATTTTTTGCAGGTCCTCATGATGAGAGAGCTCCATTTACCATTACCCTCTGTCACATGTCATGGAGAATGTTACTTATCCAATCTACGACTGTATA